TCTTATAGAAAAGCATCAAATGATGTCATTTAAATAAAAAATACTGTGTCTCTGTGGTCGTTTATCAGGATACAATTTCTAATTTTTTTTTCTGGTTTAAATCTGCTTTATGGAAAAATGATGTAAATCTCCATGTTCAGACAGCAACTCGTCCCAAACTGAAACATTTTGATTTGAAAATGCTAAAAAAAAGAGTAACTCTCTGTATCAGATGACAATAAACCCATAAATCTCCTGTGTGACGGTGTCTCAGTGTGTTTGTTCTCTACTGTATTGAACTTGGAGAGCAGTGTGTGACTTAAGAAGTGAATGTGACCCACGGCTCCATCCAAACGAGGCTCATGTGATTTGCCTGCAGTCAAGCCTTTGAGCCGCGCTTATTGTTGAATTAAATGCATGGCTGTTTCCTGACACTCGAGCTAAGTGTGAAGGCTCAGACAACTGCACACCAGCAGCCTGCCAGTCAAGGAGCCGAAGAATACCTTCACATGTGCAGCTTCAGACAAACGTCACGCTGAGCACAGTGTTTACTCATCTCATACTGTGACTATAAATCCAGATTACATTGATACTCTTTTATTCTGAGGGGACGTTTATCACCAGCAAAGGTTACGTTATCAGTGAACTGAGTGGCCTGTGACAGATAAGAGTAAATGACTCAGTGGTAAGCTGACAAACAGCCCGGCCCTCCGCTGTCTTTTCATTTGTTGTGACATTTGGTGTGACACGTTCCACAGAGCAGGAAGCCTCCCACCACACTGGAAACACACTGGATGGTTGTGAATGTGCATCTGTCACCAGCAGTCCCAGCAGGATTTCTGTATGAACCACAGTAGACTGGGAGTGGAGGGCTGTCACCTGCTGCTGCCAGCTGGCTGCGGACGTTCTTTTTCCAGTTTAAATCTCAGCTCGTCCTGCACCTGCAGTCACTGTCTGTGTTATGGCCGTGACTTGTTCTAAGCCTGCTCATAAATTTATGCTTTTATTGGGGGGTGGGTTAATGTCAGCGACGTATATGATCTTTAAATATTCAAAGCGTGTGAGAGTGTCAGGTGGTCTGATTTTACCCTCAGTGTGTCACAGGTCTAATGTTCTCCAAACACCACCGACGTGTGACTCTTCTTAACACGCCAGAACAGAATTTCTCATCATTACTGCGACAGTCAGTAAATCATTTTAACATTCTCCTGAGATAAATGTCATGATTACAATTATCTGGGATGGTGAGGGAGCGGGGGAGGGGACGAGGGGACACAGAGTTAAACAGGCAGCTCAGTTAGATTTAATGAGAGCTGTGGGCTCATTCTGTGACTGAAGTGGGCTTTGATTAAACTTGGATGAAATTAAACCGAGTGTGAGCAAACTGAACTCCTGCAGTAAGAAATGTGCTCTGTGAGTGTGAGCTTCACTTCAGTTTATTTTACCAACTTACAGCTGGATCAATAGCTGATCAGAAGATGAATCAACCTCACAGCTCACCTGAGAGTCAGAGGCCTCACACTCCCAACACACACCTGCACAGGTGATTTTACGTTCGCTTCCATCCAATGTAAACAGAGTGGGGAATGAAATATTTGTTTCTGGTGGCATGTGGATTTTAACTTTGTTGAACCTCTGACCTCAACCAACAGCAAAGACGTCTGTGTGAAGGAGACACTCAGTGTGTGTCCAGTCACAGTGAAGTGGAGCTACAGTCCCAGCTGGACGAGGACATCTAACTGGCCTACTGTCCTTGTCCCAGTATACAAGCACGGGAGGGGAATCCATTTATTGAGCCAAGTATGTGCGACTCCTCTACGATAGGTGGAGATATGCCCCCTTTCAGCTTGTTAGTATTGGACCTTTTTCCTGTTGACCTATTACGTCACAGACCAAACAATGGACAAACAAGTTAGCTACGGTTAGCTAGCAGCTAACTGCTACCATGGTGGACAACTTTACAGCTCTGTACATTTGGTCCGTCCAAAAAGTCACAATGCCAAAGCAAGTGTAACATATAAGCACAAAATCTATAAACAGAAAGTAAAGATGAATTTGGTTTTTATACACGTTGCTGGTCGCTGCTGATTGGGTCACAGCTCTGACACACCCAAACACAACCCTCAATGCCAACAATTCAATGACACATGTTGCACCCTGTTATGAGACTGAACGTGTCCCTGATGTGTCGGTGCACTGCTGCATGAAATGGCCCTGCACCAAGGCTATATATTAAAGGCTGGGACTCTCTGACCCCATGACAGTCACACGCACAATGGCACTGCAGCTGTGATGTTGGAGGGTTACAGCAGATGGCGCTAGAAATAAAGTGATGTTGTTTGCTCAGGTGCTCGTAAGGCCTTGACACACCAAGCTGACCGTCAACGTTTGGTCGTCCATGAGCATCTTTCACCCGAGTTGGTGTGTCCTTCTACGTTGAGCCTCATCTGTCACCATCAGCTTTATTTGTCTGGATCAGCCTGTTGAATCAGCAACGGCAATGGAGGAGCGCGTCATTGAATGACCTCCCTCTGACTGTGAGCTGAGCTCAGGTGAGGAGCAGAGGAGCGTCAGTGAGTAAAGGAGGAGCTACAGTCCAGAGGGAGTGAGACCAAACCAACTTGTTCCATGAGGTCAGATTATTTTTCTCTTTAGCAGAAAAGTTTCCTGATGGTTTGTGTTATTGTTCACTGGCGCACGGTAAATATGCTCTGATTGTGTTGTTCATGTGCTAACTGGCTAACTAGCATCAAGAAGCTCTTCCTGTTTACCTTTTTCAGTGATGGATACAGACGACCGCCGTCTGCTGCTGTGGAGACGTATTTCCTCTCAGCAGGAGCAGAACGGACGAGCTGATTGGCCTGGAGTCCTCACAGTGTGTTCAGTGCAACTTTTTGACCAAGACACGGCAACATCAGGCGATGTGACGGGGGCCTTCGTTACCACTTGTTCTCAGAAGTCAGTTCAGTGTGTGTGGGCCTTTAGGGTGCACGCGGCCAGACAGAACTTTTTGGGTACACTCGAATGGGTGGCGGCCGACATACAATTCTGACTGCAGACGCCTCAGTGACAAAAATCAATCATCCACATGTTCTGTGATACAGTGCCAACTATTGAGCCTTTAACCAGATTTCACTCTGCCTGTGTTTTACTCCGATGATATGACGCTATGACTTCTCCTCTTTCTAATCTCCCTGCCCTGCACTCAGCTCAGACACAGGATGTGATGTCACGGTTCCCACGAGGGTAATGAATAAATATTAATCAGAGCGACCCCAGATTGTGAATCTGTGGGAGGGACGCTACAGTTTGTTGAACTGAAGTTGGACACAAACAACATTAAAAAATCTATTTCTAAACAGGTCACATGACGACTGTTCAACATCCGTTCAGTCGAAGTTGAGCAGAGGTGACCTCTGACCTGCCAGAGGTCACACCAAAACAGGAAACACATGCTTGAATTTGTCAGGTTTCAGTAGAAGTGAGGCAGAGAGTATTTTCTGGACTGTAATGTGACTGTACTTTAACTGTGTGAGGTGTAGCTGAGCTTCATCATCAGAAGTTACAGCGAACAGGTAAAAAATCTCACGGACAGCTGCTCAGATTCTTCTGTCCTACATCTACAACCAAATGTTAAGTTTAGTGCGCGAGAGCTTTGGTCAGTATTCACAGATTTCATGCTTCATTCTAGTTCAGGATGCACTGAGCGCCTGCTGAAGTCTGTGAGAAAAGATTCTTATTTTGAGTTCAGTAAAAACATGTGAGCTCGTTCAGTGTCTTTTGTCCTCGTCCATGAAGGAGCTGCAGCCACTCTGTGTCAAAAGCAGCAGTGAGGAGTTAGTGTGTGTTTTATAAGGCACAGACCATTACAAGGGTTTAGATTTCACAGTGACAAAGGTTATACACTCATAAATGTTCCGGAATGATTTACACGCCGCTCCTGTGCCAGGGCGTTTGATTTTACAGGAGCAGAAAATAAACTTTGAGGTCATTCCTCGTGTTTCACTCATCTTTGGAGGGTGCTCGTCTATTTCTGAGTGTAATGGCAGCAGATTTTATTATTTTTTTTAAACGACCTGGGTGCACCCTGACAGCTCAGAAGATTTGTCACCATCTGCAGGTTGCCTTCTCCACATCTTACCGCCCAAGTGTAACATTCCAAATCTGCCCTCAGATTAATTTTAGCTTCACAAGTCAGCTACTTCCAGCCGTGTGAATCCTCCAGGGCTTGGGTTGCTCCTTAAAGACGGTATCGAGCACCACTGAGGCCCAGAGAGAGAACACTGGCTGCAAACAGAAATTTATAAGTTGGAAGTTAAGTTCAGCTGAGAGCTTGTTCGAGCTGCAGCGCACTGAAGCAGATATTCATAATGAAGCAATAAACTGAATTATTTTTCCAGACACACAGACAGTTTGCAGGTGGTGTGTGTCAACACAAAGGCATGTTTTCACACTGTGACTGAGCTGAATCTGCAGTAAAGTCCACACTTTACAGATGTAATACACTAATGGATCCTAACTGGGCAGGGTGTGCAGGCGGAGGGCAAACCTAACCCTCCTTCCCAGTGTCCAAACTCTGCAGCCCCCCTGAGACAACATCTCCAAATCCCCTGTGACGAATTAACGGCACAGCGATGAACAGCTATTGGACGGCTTAACCCCTCCGCATACCACACTGATAGCTTCATTTGAGCGACAGCATTTCAGTTTTGGGCTGCAGAAGCCTCCCACAGGGTGACACACACAGTTTCAGCTGGAAACTCAACTCAGCACCAGAAACAAAACTCAGTCCAGTCTCCAAACTTCTGCACAGAAACATCTGATCTTTGGACAACAGTTCAGCAGCTTCTGTCATTCATCCTGCAGCTTTGTCCCACCTCAGACACACACACACACACACACACACGCACACACATAGGAAACGGACCCCCCCAAACAGGCAACCCAGAGAGAAAGCTTAAAGAGTGGAACCCCCCACAAACCCCACAGAGAGCGAGAGAAGGAAGCAGCCTCACACTCACCTTCACTGAAGCGCAGTGCTGAAGCCCCTCAGAGAGGCAGAGCCTGCAGTTAGAAACCCCCCCTCCTCTCTGTCTCTATGTCTCTCACTCACTCTCTGCCCCCCCCCCCCCTCCTCTCTGCCCTGTGTGTCAGGCTTCAGGCTCTGCTGAGACAGCCATACTGACCAGCGGCACTTTGAGAAGTCAGCATTTTATTATTTTGGCTGGGGGGGGGCATGAACTCATGTTCATCAGCCATTTAGTTACACTGAGAGCAGACAGACACACAGAGAGCAGGGCTGACACCTGCTGGTCTGAGCTGCACACTGCACCTCTTCCTGTCTCTGAAGTGTTGCACTGCTGGAAAGTTGCTCTTCTCATAAACTGTTGTGTCTCTGCAGTAACAACACAAGTACTGGTGGAAACTGGTGCTAAATGACCAGAGAAAACAGAGACAACAGGCTGTGGCATTCGCTTTCCTCATCTACAACTACCAGAATGTACTGCACTGGACCAATGAACGCTCCCACTGGTGGGTGACGTAATGCAGTGCTGTGCAGGTGCTCCAGTGGAAAAGAAGAGCATCTTTTTTGCATACACGAAAAAATGTGGGCGCACAAAGTGCACCCTGCAGGGAGGTTTGTGTCTGCAGCTTGAGGCCTGAGTGCACAAGATTTATAATGAGGTGCTGATCACTGGCAGCAGACTTGATCATAGAAAACAAGTGTCACACACTCTGACGCATTTCTTTTATTCTGATGATGACGTTTGGGCCTTTGGGTCTTCTTCACCATCAACAGTCACACTGAGACACAGGTACACTCACCTGTTTTATGGTCCACACCTTTGTCACACAGCAGATGATGGTTAGATGATGAGGCCACACCATCAGGTCGAGCAAAACACAATGTAGAGCCCTCAACAACAGTTAAACAGTTAAACAGATTATGGACGAACCAAAAACTGGTCTCCCTACCTGTGGGCTAGCTCTCCACCCACAGTCAATCTGTATTGCAATTTATCTGTCTGTCTGTATATTATGGTTTGTGTTTTTCAATGTGTTTTTCACTGTTAGTGCTTGTTTTATTGCTACTGCTCCTTTTTTCTTACTGTGAAATGTTGTACTGTCTTAATTTGTTTTTATGTTAATGGGACTACGGATGGAAATTAGCGTCAAGCTACAATCCGGCATCTTTACATGTTTTAACATGTTCATCAATGTGCACTGTCCCATTCAAATAAACAAATAAATAAATAAATAAATAAACAGGTTTAAAGTTTGGCAGCAGCGACATGAATGGCTGAAGGAGTGGCGGGACAGAGAGAGAACTGTGAATGAATATGGCATAAAGAAAGTCTTCCTGAGTGAACTGAAGCTAAACTTCATTTAGCTACACGCGGTCTGCCCCGGGGCCTCCTACCAGCTGGACCAGGAGGATCCTGATCAGATGGTGAACCACCTCAACATGAAGGAGCAGCGGCTCTACTCCGAGCATCATCATCTCCCGTCCTCCTCCCGGCTGCACCTTGAAGTCCCGTCTTTAAATATCACAAACAGATCAGAGACAAGGGACGACCCTGGTGGAGGGACAACACCCGCTGAGGACATGTTTGACTTTGTGCTCAGTATTTGGACACAGCTCTCACTTTGGTTACACAAGGACCGGATGGCTTGTAGCAGCGACCCTGGTACCTGTGTTACCACAGCACCCCCATGGGCCATGGTTGTAATCTACACGTCTGATTGTTGACGCCACTAAATCCCCCCAAGTCTTTGAAAACGATCCTATCAGCCAGCGACCTTAGATTATCAATCAATCAATCAATCAATCAATCAATCAATCAATCAATTTTTTTAATAAAGCCCAATATCACAAATCACAATTTGCCTCACAGGGCTTTACAGCATACGACATCCCTCTGTCCTTATGACCCTCACAGCTGATCAGGAAAAACTCCCCAAAAAAACCCCTTTAACGGGGAAAAAAAACGGTAGAAACCTCAGGAAGAGCAACTGAGGAGGGATCCCTCTTCCAGGACGGACAGACGTGCAATAGATGTCGTACAGAACAGATCA